ATTTTAGAAAACCAGACAATTTGATACTATTTCGTGAGAATCAAAAAAGCGTGAATACTTTGATTTAACTTTGACATGATCAAACCGCAAGAAGAATAGTCAGGAAACTCAAATTTACACTTTGTTTTAGCAGAAATCTTTGCGAAAATAGCAAAAAATAGGCCCATTTTTGGTAAACGAAATTCCAAGCGTTAAATCAAAGTGTTCACATTTTTCTGATTCGCACAGTAACATGCACCAATTCCGTTGTTTTTTGTTTGTTTGATTTTGATAGCGTAGATTCTTGATATAAAATATTCGGTATCTTTTTAGCCGATTTGTTTGTTTCTTTATAAATTAGTAACCAGTGTTCTTTTCCTGTGATGTAGTAAACTGTTTTTGTAGTGAAAAATTCCTTCCGAACTAACCTTTGCAAAGTTTTTTCTCAATATCGGAAATGTTAGCAAGAAAACTGACCGATAGTAATTTTACAAAACCAGACAAATTTCAGCAGAGGTCTATAACTAGTTATAGACCTCTGATTTCAGTTGTTATTCTTTTGATCGATTTTGACAGTTAGATTCTGAATATTTTTACAATTTTGCGAAATCGCTCAGCACAGCGTTCAAAGTTTAGTTTTGCAGTTATTATTTTTTTTGCCGTTTTTGTTTTGCTCAAAAGAAACTGTTTGATTTTGTGATCTGCAATATTAGAAAGAAAAACGAAACTGTTTTTACAAAGCCCGCGAAATATGTTCTAGACAATTATCAAATATAAATTCCGTTGCTTTTTTGATCGATTTTGTTTTCGTGGTAAAAAAAGGTCATTCCAACTTAATCTTTGTCAAGTTTTGTTATTAATATTGGAAATATTAGCAAACAAACGACAGTAATTTTACAACTAAACCGGACAATCACAAACAAATTGCGTTGTTTTCTTGTGATCGGTTTTGACAGCTAGATTCTCACTATTATTAAATTTTGTTTCACGGATTTTGTGAAATAACTCTAAACAATCATGATCTTCGTCGAGAGTTTTCTTAATATCGAGAATATTAGCAGAAAAACAACAGTGATTTTACAAAACCAGACAATTATTAAACACCAATTCCGTTGTTTTCTTTTGCTTCATTTTGACAGTGTGGATTCTTGCTATAAATGTTTTGGTATCCTTTAAGCTACTTTGGTGTTTTCTATACATAATCCGAAACGATTTTCAAAATAAACTAATAGATTTTGTGGTCTGTAATTTTAGCAAGAAAAACGATATTGATTTTACAAAATCAGTCAAATATTGTCCAGACTGATATTACATAAACACCAATAGACAATATTCGTATTCTCACGGTTGGACTGGAACTAGCTTGCAATCGAGGCTAATGCGGGGAAATCTTTTCAAATGCAAATATTTTTAGCGACATTTCCCCGCATGAGCCTCGATTGCAAGCTAGTTCCAGTCCAACCGTGAGAATACGAATATTATCTATTCAGTTGTTTTTTTTGGATCGATTTCTGATTAATGTTAAATTTGTTTCATCACAGGTTTGTCAAATCAATCAGTACAGCGTTCGAGGTTTAGTTGTACATCAATTTTGTTTTTGTTCATATTTTTTTCATAAGTAATCGGTGATGATTTCTTTCCAAATAACCTGATTTTGTGATCTATAATGTGAACAAGAACAAACTATTTTGATCTAACAAACATATTGAACATTACTTCTGTTGTTTTCTTTTGCTCTTTTTTCCATGAAATACGATTCTATTAACCATCAATTCCATCATTTTTGACAGCAAGATTCTGACTATTTTTCTCGTTTTTTTCATGAAATCAGTACGCAATTATTTATTTGGTTGCTTGCTTGTTTACTTAAAATAATATTTGGTACTGTTTTGTGGCGAAATATTCATACCGAATTGGTTTTTTTCAGAGTTTTTTCTTGATATCGAAAATGTCAGCAATAAAAAACACAGTGATTTTACTAACAGACAATTAAGACTGCGTTAATCCATTGTTCTCTTTTAAATGATTTTGGTAGCTAGATTCTGACTATAATTGTGATGAAACATTTATGTCCTCATACTCTTTAATTTCTCGATTTTTTTCTTCCACTGACAATTAGATCCAATTATAAAACATCAATTCCGCTGTTTGTTTTCTCCACAAGAAACTGTTTGATTTTGTGGTCTATAATGTTAGCCAGTGTTTTCAAAACGTAAGCGAAATATGTACTAGATTATTGTTGAATTTTTAGTAATCATCACTTTATTAATTAACAATCAATGTTTTTGCTGAGAAAAATTCATGCAGACTTAATCTTTGCAGGAAAAAAACGAGACTATTTTCATCAAACAAGACAATCGCATACTATTAAAAATCAATTCTGTAGTTTTCTTTTGATCGTTTTTATCAGCTAGATTCTGACTATTTATAATTTTGTTTCACGGATTTTCTGAAATCGCACTATAGCAGTATCGTTTTAGCCGAATCAGAACTTTTTCGTCCTAAAATTCCTGTTTGATTTTGTGGTCTGTATAACTGTAAACCCTGGAGTTATCTCGAATGCTTGTTAATATCCTCTGCCGGAACCAGACATTAGGGTTTTATATACCAAGCTCACAAAATGACAAGAGAACATAGGCACACGCGTGTTCCGTACGTCTTTCTACGTCTTTCTGCGCGCAAGCCAACTTCTTAAAAAAAAAAAAAAAATTGTCTTATGCCGATTAAAACACATTTCCGACGAAGATGTTGTAAATTTTGCATTGGAAAGCCAGTGTTCTCTTGTCATCCGTTGATGGGGCAAACATTAAGGTGGCACTGTCAAGTGTATTGTAGACTGAAACTCGTTAATCTCGGCTGAAAACGTTGAAAGAGAAAAGACGAATCGTACCCTCCTCCCATCCCTCCAAAATTAATTTTAAGAGTTCAAGACAATTGTTTTTTGATGACAAAGCTAAATTAAACCAAGTCTCTGCCTCCTTCCCCCCCCCCCCCCATCCCCCAAATCAATTTTCTTGTTCAAGACAATTGGATCCTTGATGACAAAATCAAGTCTCCGTTAACGAATTTGTCAAATTATTTTGTTGAATCACTGTTTGCAGACCTGTTTTTGAATCACTGTTTTCAGCATTCCAAATCTTTTTGTTTCGAATACAGTGCCACCATAAAGTAAAAATGGTGGCTGCGATTGAACTACTTTAACAAGTATTTTGCGCCAATTTCCTAGTCCCTAGTGTTTGTAATTTCCACGATCCGATACAGATCAATAATATAAATCCAATCTGATAAAACAACTTGTGACGTTCCGTTACAAATTTGGACATTTGTCAGCCACCATTTTTACTACAATTATTTGATAATGTCAAAGTTCTTATCTTTGTAGTATTTCCTCCTGATTCAGTGATTCCAGTTTGTCCTCTTGAATTCTTTACTCTTCTCTCCTCTTCATGAAGTCAGTCTTACTGAAAATAGAAACGAGATATTCAATCATCAGTAAATGTAACACATTTTTAAAGACATTAACAAGCCAACCAAAATAACGTTTTGAAGGACAAAGTAAGGTTCTTGGCGAAGTTAATTTCTCCCAAAATATTACACAGTATTAGCTCACGTCAAAAACGTTTACCCCAAGGCCGTCGCCCTTGCTATATTGCGAACGGAATAAAAGATGCTGTTTAGCTGTCGAGTCTCAAGTTGAAGCGACGCTCAAAGCGAACAGCAAGCGCACGTGTTAACACTTCGGTAACATTTCTTTCTCGTTTAGCTCTCTGAACAAACTTAAAGTAGTATTTATCTAATATTTTCTAAAAGCAGTGCTCACCTTCGACTGGAATGGAGTAATGACATCTTTTCTTCTTCTTCATGCATCAAGCATCTTCTTCAGTCTTTCTGAAAATAGAAATGAGTAATTCAATGATCAGTAAATGTTACAATTTTTTACAAAGTTTAACAAGCTACCAGAATTCTAACGTGTATAAGTCCATGACAAATGGGTGTGTACACACGGGCTAAATAAACTCCCAAATAACATTTTGAAGGCCGAAGCAAGATTCTTACGACGGGGAAAATTATTTTAGTGAAATGGTCCTCTTCGCCCTTGCTATATATTATTGCAAACGAAATAAAAGATAATGTACTCCTTTGCTGTCGAGTTTCGAATTGAAGCGACGCTCAAAGCGAGCAGCAAGCGCACGTGTTAACACTTCGGTAACATTTCTTGTTCGTTTAGCTTTCTGAACAAAATTAAAGTAATATTTTCCAAAAGCAGTGCTCACCTTCGGTTGGAATAGCGTAAAGACTTCTCCAGTGAAGCTCCAATCCCGTCACAAGCATATTCTTCCCAGACACGTCTTCACACATCCAGGACCTGTTTGGTTTGAAGCAAATTCTACAATTTGTCATGAATATGGATTAGAAATTCAAGCCAATCGCGGACAAATACGCGGCGCGGATTTCGTTTGCACGCTTTTTTAGCGAGCGAATCATGAAGCGCGAAAAAGGCCATAGTTGTTTTTGTGTTTGAAAAAGTATGCATGCGAAATGAGAAGAAATGAAAAAGGGAATGTATTTCGTTACAAAATAAATCTGACCACAGAAAGAAAGAATGCCGTGAAACAGAAAGCTAAAGTTCTTTGAGTGAAAAATTGCAAAATTAAAGTAAATTGATACCCGAGCTGAAAGCAAAAAAAACAAAAACAAGTTCTCGGATTAATTATTCAGAGCTCATACGAACTCTCCGGATTTGAACCAGAGAAATTCAGATCTTCAGTCTGACGCTCTCCCAACTGAGCTATCTCGGCATTCACGACTGATAACCAAAATAACAACAGGAATAACAATAGTTCTAAAAGAAATAAAATATAAAATGTTAGCCAATTTTACTGTATCTTTTTTAGATATTTTTTTGTACAGTTGAAAACTAAATATTTTAACAGTAAAAATCCTTTCAACAAAATCCTGTGCATTGTATTTACTGGAAATAGTAAAACAACAACAACAAAATAAGAAAAAAAAAAAAACTTTGCCGAGACCCGGGATTATTCAGAGCTCATACGAACTCTCCGGATTGAACCAGGGACCTTCAGATCTTCAGTCTGACGCTCTCCCAACTGAGCTATCTCGGCAACTGACAGAAAGGATGCCAACTGATAAAATATGATAATTTTGAAAGTCGAATACCAACTTAGGCGCGCGCGTTTGCCAATAATGGGTGCATTAATTTATCAGCAAAGTTTTAACAACCATTATAATAGAAACAAGACGTCGATTCACCAACGCTAAAATCACCACCAAAAACTGCCCCCCCTTTCACCATCGATAAAATTACCACCGAAAACGTCCCTCTTTCGCCCTCGTTAAAATCACCACCGAAAACGTCTCTCTTTCGCCCTCATTAAAATCACCACCGAAAACGTCCTCTTCAGTCCCTCGTTAAAATCACCACCGAAAACGTCCCTCTTTCGCCTTCGTTAAAATCACCACCGAAAACGTCCCTCTTTCGCCCTCGTTAAAATCACCACCGAAAACGTCCCTCTTTCGCCCTCGTTAAAATCACCACCGAAAACGTCCCTCTTTCGCCCTCATTAAAATCACCACCGAAAACGTCCCTCTTTCACCCTCGTTAAAATCACCACCGAAAACTGTCCCCCTTTCAGCCTCGTTAAGATCACCACCGAAAACTGTCCCCCTTTCACCCTCGTTAAGATCACCACCGAAAACGTCCCTCTTTCGCCCTCGTTAAAATCACCACCGAAAACGTCCCTCTTTCGCCCTCATTAAAATCACCACCGAAAACGTCCCTCTTTCGCCCTCGTTAAAATCACCACCGAAAACGTCTCTCTTTCGCCCTCGTTAAAATCACCACCGAAAACGTCCCTCTTTCGCCCTCGTTAAAATCACCACCGAAAACGTCCCTCTTTCGCCCTCGTTAAAATCACCACCGAAAACTGTCCCCCTTTCACCCTCATTAAAATCACCACCGAAAACTGTCCCCTTTCACCCTCGTTAAAATCACCACCGAAAACGTCCCTCTTTCTCCCTCGTTAAAATCACCACCGAAAACGTCAGTGAAACGTCCCTCTTTCTCCCTCATTAAAATCACCACCGAAAACGTCCCTCTTTCTCCCTCGTTAAAATCACCACCGAAAACGTCCCTCTTTCGCCCTCGTTAAAATCACCACCGAAAACTTCCCTCTTTCGCCCTCGTTAAAATCACCACCGAAAACTGCCCCTAGCCATCGAAATTCTGGAAATTACATTTCGTCCCTTTTGTAAGTGATGAAAAGAAAAAGAAGGGAAAGATGCTTTATTATTGAAAATGGAATGTTTATATTCCAACAAAAATTGCGCAATGAAAGTTTTGTTCGGGAATGGTGTAAATGAAAACAAAGATAAACAACCAAACAAAGAAACAAAACATTAAAGCAATAAAATAAAAATAAAAAAGTAATAAACGAAAAAACATTGCCGAGACCCGGGATTATTCAGAGCTCATACGAACTCTCCGGATTTGAACCAGGGACCTTCAGATCTTCAGTCTGACGCTCTCCCAACTGAGCAAAAATTGGTAAACATAACTTTAGACTACAATATCTGGTCTTCGTTCCTCGGTAATCGAGCCTACAACAATCTTTATTTTGCTCAAAATAGAACATACAATAAACTAGATAGAATAAAAAAATTGACACGTTTGATATTACAATACATATTATAATATGAGAATAAAATTATAATAAGCGTGGAGTATAATTTAACAATGTCACTGGTATCGCGGAAAGTGTCCCAACACTATGGACCGCATTGTACGTGTTCTGAACTTCCTCTATGATAAAAGCGAAAAAATAAAAAAATAATAAAATAAAAAATACCAGACTAGCTTAGTACATAAGCCGGTGACCTGTATAAATTATGCGATTATGCAAGAGGCACGTAATCAGACCACCAGCCGGTAAGCTAGGCATTAGCAGCTGAAATGAGATTACATGATGACGATGATGCAAGGGACACGTACATTTGGCGGGACTAATTTCATTTAATTCTAAGAAACGAAAGAACAAGTAAACGATTTTATCATATAGAGAAAACAATGGATTTACATTTGATGTGTTTAGCGCGGGCCAAACGAGGATGAGAGTTGTTGAGAGTTGGCCCTCATGAGAGTTTTCTTCAACTCTCATCGACCATCATGAAGCGTGGGCCAAACGACAGAAAACTCGTGACGACTCAAGGAAAATTGAGCAGGTTCAAATTTGATGAGAGCGCATAAGAGTCTGTGAGAGCGCGTGAGAGTTTCAGGCCAAACGAGAGCGAGAAAGCTCTCATCCTCCTTTGGCCCGGGCTTATTTTACATTTCAACTTCACTCGTAACACTGCTGCGAAATACAGTGCAACCTCGTTAGTACGGACACCTACGGGCCAAGAAAACTGGTCGTAATAACGGGGTGGCCGTATTAAAGGGGTTCTTTAAATCAGAAAATTACTGACTGAGCTTTTGTTCGGGCCAAAATAAAGTGGCCGTAATAACGGGGTGACCGTATTAACGGGGTGGCCGTAAGGCGGGGTTCCACTGTAGAATACCATGGACCAAGGAGAAACAAAGTAACAAACAAACAAGAACGCTAACAGAACTTGCATGTGACATGATAGGAATTTTATTCCAGTCCCCCAGTCCCCCAATTCACCCTATTCATGCCATTTCAAACCTTTTTTCCCCTCCAACTTACTCAAGAAAAGTCAGCGTTATTCGTTATCGACGGACTCTTTATTTTCGAAGCAAAACCGCGCGCGACGTTTTTTGACGAAACAAATGAACGCTTTGGAAGTTGAAAAACGGTTTGCACAATAAACCGAAGTTGGTAGTTTGAAAGCTGCTATAAACTGTGCATCATGTCGTGACTATATATTAGTCACCACACAACCGCCGAATTGACTTTGAAAAGCCGGATAAAAATAGCTTGAAGGATTTTTCTTTTGCCTTCCCTCCCGTAGACTTCTGGAAAACGTAAAAATGACCACTCGTGTTAATCTTGTTGAACCCTTTAAAATTAGCATGTCATTCCAACTCTCGTTATAGCGGACATCCGCCGGACGTAGTTTGGAGTCCGTAATAGCGAGAGTCCTTTGCATTGGTCCTTTTAGTCCGAAGTCTTTGGAAGTGTGTTGATACAAGTGACACATACCAAACAACAGACTATGAGAAGTTCAAGGTGTCCGCTTTATCGAGGGTCAAAACAATAAAATTGTTATGTTGGTACCACGAAAGTGTCCGTTATTCCGTAATAGCGAGAATCAAGAGAAAATTTTCTCTTGCGAGAATCCGTAATAGAGGGAGTCATTTTCAGGTGTAAACCTCTATAGCTTTCGCCGGGTTTTGTCCGTAATAGCGGGTGTCCGTAATAACGGGGTGTCCGCAAGGCGACACGAACTTACACGAACTCAGTACACGAACTATAGGAACTGATAGAACGGCATAAACTATCATGAGCTACTCGATCTAATTACACTAAGTATATATTTCACGGCAATAGAATGGTCCATAGGAGTTGCTAGTTTGTGACGGTTATCATAAATCTGTTACAGCCGGTAAAAAAACACCTTTTCCTATAATTCGGTGTTCTTTTCGAACGCTCGCAATAATTTTCTATTCTCATATTCGATAGGAATACAGTGAACTCTCTCTTAACGGACACCTCTATAAGACGGACACCTCTGTAAGACGTACACTTGGTGTTGGTCCCTGCGCGCCATTTTTCAGTCATGTTGTCCGCTTATCGGAGAGTTTAGATACAGTACCTCTTTAAGACGGACAGTTTGTGCCGGTCCCGATGGTGTCCGTCTTAGAGAGAGTTCACTGTAGTTAGAGTGATTGTGCTTGATATTACAGTGAACTCTCTCTAAGACGGACACCATCGGGACCGGCACAAACTGTCCGTCTTAGAGAAGTGTCCGCTTATAGAGAGTTCAGAGGTTTAGATACAGTAACATGACTGAAAAATGGCGCGCAGGGACCAACACCAAGTGTCCGTCTTACAGAGGTGTCCGTCTTATAGAGGTGTCCGTCTTATAGAGGTGTCCGTCTTATAGAGGTGTCCGTTAAGAGAGAGTTGACTGTACTGACCATTTTTTACAAAAATTTGTAAGAGCACTTAACATTATCCCGTTAAATGTAATACGATGCTCGCAGGCCTCGCGAATCTTGAGATGGTGTAAATTTGGTTTACATACAAACACGGATAAGCTTCTAAGTCCGCTAAACACGTCACCGGGTAATAAAATGCTGTCCCATCGAGCCCTCTATTAGCAAATCCATGCAATAACACCTTACAACGTGTTTATGAACAGCTACTGTACTCCGCGATTCGGGTCGCAAAGGGAAATACAACATTTGTCTTCATTTCTTGAGGACGAAACATTTTCAGACCTTAACGTCACTATTTTTTTTAATTTTAAAAATCGCTTCTAGAAGTTTCAGTTGAGAACACTAAAATCTCTAAAAGTCGAAAAAAATCGCTAAATAACTAGTCACTAAATCTTGGGAAAGAAAAATCGCTAAATTCAAGGGCCCGCAACAAGGAAATTTAAGCAAAACAAATTTGATTGTTTTTTTTGCTGTTTTCCCGTATCGTTTCAGTGGAGTCTTTTAAAAGGATGTTGGTGTAAATTACAGTAACCAACACAATTTGATCACAGAAAGAGACCGGCATCTTGATATGTATGACCCGGCCTGTATGATTCAATTATTAAAAAGTTTAAAATACATGAGTCATGTGTGGTGGTTTATCGTCATCCCAGGCCGTGTGCAAGGCTTCTTTTTTGCGAGATCACTTTTCAGCCTTCGGCCGAAGAGAGAAGAGTGATCTTGTATTCGAATATTCTGAGGCGATTATAGGCCTTCCGAACAGATATTCTACCGGAACGATCCGTTGGGTTCTAAATTTAGTAGCCGCTAAAAATAGGCGTAGTATCAGCATAGCGTCAGCGTAATTCGTTTAGGCGTAGTATACCGACTGCCTGCTTACAGCTCTCACCGCACATTATGCGCCGGTGAGTCTGGTCTCACGCTAGCCTGCGAATCAAGCGGCGCGCGATGGAAGTCGGCTGTATTCGCTTACGTGTCGTCTAAAAC